ATTGACTTCCACGCTGAAGGAATAACATCGTGTAGTAAAAATCAAACCCGCAAAATGATAATTTGCGTAATTACTGGTGGTAGGACATCTTGTGAGTCCGCGCGGGTAGGTACCACCACCCTGCTTATTTCTAACGTGAAGCAGTAATGCGTTTCGGTTTGAAGGGCGGGGCAGCCGTTGTAACTATACTGAGACCTTAGAACTGATATCTCAAGGTGGGTGGCGCATTTACGTCGTAGATGTCTATGGGCTCCAGTAACCACTTAACATCAGGTTGCATCAGGAGCTTGTCCACCCATCTAAGCAATAAAAAAATCCTACTTCATTTTCTTGTGTCCGTTCCCTCACTAATAAGGATCGTGCCTAGTGCTCATTTATGAGTTTTCTACATTTAGGTATTTCTGCCCTGCGCCAGTGCTATAGATAATTGTAAAGTTTTTCCTGTTGTCTCTAATTAAAGTAGGTATTTTACTGGAATGCATACCCTACATTTGTTCCACGTTCAACTGCTTCTCCAATTCATGATCCAATCCAGTGAGTTGTTAATGGTACATAAAATTTAAAGTTTCTCTCCTATATAAATAAAAAGGATAACACACATACACAAAATTGTAATATAATATTTTTATATAGATTAATAATTAATTAATACTATGTTTGCTGTTTAATAGTGCGTTTTTAATTGTCATTATAAACACTGTTAATGTTTTCTTGTTAATGTTTTCTGTTCTGTTAGTGTTTGTTATGTTATTCGTCGATATTCGAATATCGTGCTAATTACCGTGTATTCCCACAGACACAGCCCATTGAATTTCTCATCGGACCTTAGTGGGTCGCGATTCCGATCCGATAGTAGATTTAACGAACAGCCAAGAATATTTTATATCGAAGAATAAAAGAAATCCCCCCTATCTATTCGCCAGTAGCCTAAGGCTTAGCTACGTGCGGACAAGTACCTGAGCTTACGTATTCATCCTGAGTGAATTTGTTAGCACTAGCCCTGGCAAGAGCAGTGCTTTGCGGAATTCGCATTTGGTAAACCTATTTGCGTTACGGACAATATATAAAAATAATATATCATACTATAACCCTATGGTAAGATTGGTCAGGCAGTAGGTATAAAGATTTGGCTAATGTCACGGTGACCTTGATATCTTTGAACATACACTCAGGGGATTTGTCAGATGTGTGAAGGATATCCTATTTAACAATGACTAGTTATCAATATTTGTAATTTTGTTTTCAATAGCCAAAGCTATGTAGGTACATTAATATGGATTTGCTGAGCGCACATACCATTTAGATTGCAATCCATTTTAGATCTAGGTACTGCTTGTACGATTTAGCTAATATGTACTGTAATGACTGTAATTTGTTTTGTGCATTAATAAATTAAAAAAAAAAACCCGCCAAAAAGTTCACAAAACCGCTTATATTTTCATTTAATTCAATAGGGATGTACTAATTGCCTGGATCTATTCTTCGGCTATTACAAGGATGTTATGTAGTACCTAAAGTGTGCGATGTTGATGGCTGACAGCATGTTAACAGCGTCAGTAAACAGCGTCATTAGTCAGCGTCATAATTTCAAACCATTTAGCCTGTTTCCTAAGTTGATAAAATTTGAATCAATAATCATTAATGTTACGAACGCGAATGTGAGTTTGTGTGTTACGTTTTCACGTCTTAACTTCAATTAATCGACATGAAATTTTGCAAACGCGTTATCAAGAGCATATCAAGAGATAAAAAAATGTGTGGTGTCGTGGGACACCGGATAGGAACGAAGTTCCTTATTATAAAAATATTAGTTTTAAGTTCTATTCGAGATATAAAGAAAATAATTATTCGGGTATACATTTTTCATCATGATTTTTTATTAATAAAAAAATAAAAAAAACTACTTTACAAAGTTATCAACTTTATTTTATTCACAATGATTTATAAAAAATATATAATGAAAATATGTTATTTTTTGTACGTTATTACAAAATTAAGTCGTACACTGTGTGCATTACTAATGAAAATCTTACGGTATGGATGTTTTTTCCCGGTTAGGGTACCCCTCCGCATCGTCCCATACGGAACTTCGTTCCATAATACATTCTCAAGGTTTCTTTAAAGTCGTATATAAAAGCTAGTTATTTAATAAACAGGGCAAGACACATATTGTACAATTTTATTAGTCTTAATAGCAAGCTCGATTACACATTAAATTTTTTTAAATGGTAATGGAACAAGGCTTTTTATTACGAAAATAATGTTGCAACAGTCAATATAAGAAACTTGTATCATTAAATTCAATTAGAATTCAAATAGAACCGTATAGTGTGATTGACTTTAAAAATTTCACAGAGGAAAAAAATTAAGATACGCACATTCCACCTTGTAAACAAAATAATTCTAAGCGGATTTATTGTTGCAAAATTTATTGTATCAAACAAAAAAATTTTTATTGCTTAGATGTGTGGACGAGCTCACAGCCCACCTAGTGTTAAGTGGTTACTGGAGCCCATAGACATCTACAACGTAAATGCGCCACCCACCTTGAGATATAAGTTCTAAGGTCTCAGTGTAGTTACAACGGCTGCCCCACCCTTCAAACCTAAACGCAATACTGCTTCACGGCAGAAATAGGTAGGGTGGTGGTACCTACTCGCGCGGACTCACAAGAGGTCCTACCACCAGTAAAAATATAACCTAGAAACTTTACTTTTTTAGAAAAACTTCCCCTATAATTGAAATTTGTTAATTTGTTTTTAAAACCCTCCGCATTGAGAATTATCGATGCAAGGAGGATGAAAACCAACATCTGGATGAAATGCTTGTTTTCCTGACATCGGCTATGCTACTTTACCGTGATTCAATTGAGCTCTCGTGAGTTCACGATGCTAACAATTTTTCTAAGTATGTCATGTCACCATGTCTCAAGGTAGGCGAGTAGGCGGACTTTATTGTCGTTTCTGTCACTCAAAGGTCCTTCAAGTCTTCTCCTGATCTAAAGAAATCGGTATCATATGGCAGATAAAAATATGAACGAATACAGAACACTTCAATTATTTTAATCCGGCTTACGTATTATGACTGTATTCGACAAAATCAATGGCGTCTTGCAACACTTGGAAGTCGCGATCACTAAATTGGCTAAATTGAATTAATGAAAGGTCGTTGACGTGAGTCACGGAGTCACATTTTACTTGTGCACAGAAAATACACTAAATACGTGACACACCTGTACCTCAGCTGAGTTATAAGCCTTCAATATCAAGTGCATTAACTATGTTAAAAACCATAAACACAATTTGCAAAATACATAATCGTAAACAAGCTAATTTAATAAAGGTCGATTTTGTTTTGAGTTCGTAAGAAGTTTAATTTAACAGAGCAAAGTTTATAAATCTTCTATCTTTTTTGTTCAGAAATCTAAATGTAATAATTGTAATGAATGTGAAAAATTGTATGTGTTATTCAATTTCAGACCGTAATTTAACGGATTTAGATGTAAATTTGCACAAAGTAGTTTGTGACCTATATTATATTCATATAGGATCCGCATAGGGGCTATTTTAAGGTAAATTACATAATCCTCCCCTCTCTCTGTCTCCCTCTCTCTCTCTCCCTCTCTCTCTCCCTCTCTCTCTCCCTCTCTCTCTCCCTCTCTCTCTCCCTCTCTCTCTCCCTCTCTCTCTCTCTCCCTCTCTCTGTCTCTCCCTTTCTCTCTCCCTTTTTTTTATAGCTTAAATGGGTGGACGAGCTCACAGCCCACCTGGTGTTAAGTGGTCACTGGAGCCCATAGACATCCACAACGTAAATGCGCCACCCACCTTGAGATAATATAAGTTCTAAGGTCTCAGTATAGTTACTACGGCTGCCCCACCCTTCAAACCGAAACGCATTACTGCTTCACGGCAGAAATAGGCAGGGCGGTGGTACCAACCCGCGCGGACTCACAAGAGGTCCTACCACCAATAACCTCTCCCTCTCTCTCTCTCTCTCTCTCCCCCTCTCTCTCTCTCTGAACATTCAATCAAATTCAAATACAACATTAAGAAAGTCGGTCTACCATGAAAACTTGGCGTATTTACTTTAACATTTGCACAATGCACAGTCATATTCTAAGAGCCCACATCGCCTCGTCCTGTCCATTACATCGCTGGAACTTCACTCAAAATTATTTAATATTTTAATTGTAAAATGGCAATTATATATGTATCCCTTAATTAACACTTAATAATTTAAAATAAAAAACCTGAGAAAATCATGAAATTTTAAAAGGCGAAATAATCAGAACACGTATTCTTATTGCGTTAATGTAGGCAGACTTTAAAAACTCAAGATCATTGACGTTGCATTTTTTTCTTGGGATTTTGTCTTAATACTCGCTTATCGCTAATCCAACCCGTAATACTTTTGTAAAGAAACAATCATATTATGTTCCGGTTTGAATGCTAAAGAAACCATTAAGATTGAGCCTTCAATATTAAGATGAATAACATTATTTAAGTTGACACATCCATGAACTTTGTTATGTCCACGAGCCATTACGACCGTTTAATATCAATTAGGCCGTATACACATCCACTCTCTGAGACTGTAAAAATATTCATGGTATTAAAATATTTCAAATATATAGGTAGTGTCTATGTAAGAATGAATCATCTGAAATTCCTGTTTATCATCAGCAATATCCGTTGACAACATTATAATGTAACTTAATTTTGCTACCAACATTGAAATAATTATTAACGTTCCATTACTCAAGTTTCGTAGTAGCTTTGAGCAATTATCACCGCTATTTTAAATTTCAGGTAATGGATAAAATAACAGTCTTACAACTTTGCAAGTTATTTGTTTGTGACTGTGTATTCAATATATTTTATAAATCAAATACAATATTACTTTCCGAGATTATTTGGTAGTAAATGCGTAAAACGAACTGTGACTGGTTGCCGTCTTGCAATTGACATTTTGACTGTTTTTGACAGATGATAAAGTATCCTTCGTGCGAACGACCAATCCGTCCCAGAAAAGCCACTCCTATTATTGAATTTTAAAAAAACAAATCTGTATTGTGTCGCGAGAAATGTAGCTAAGTGTTCATTGAATGAAATCGTAAAAGTGAAATGGCCTAGTCGTATGTGAAGTGACCGAAATCAATCAAAATGAGTGGGCGATCGGGTCGTGGTGTGTTCGGGAAGCTTTTCTCTAAGAAGCAACACAAGGAACGAGATGAGAGAGCTACGGAGATCGGGATGCCTACAAACGTGAAACAACATCTACACGTTAGTAAAAATTCCGAGACTGGTATGTTAGAAGGTCTGCCAACGGCATGGCTGCGACTCATAAATACACAAATTACGGCGGCCGAACAAAGCGAAAACCCTGATGCTGCCATCCAGGCCGTGAAATTCCACATGTACACGATAAAAAAGGAAAAAGCGCAAGATGAACCATTCAAACCTTTTGTTACGCAAGAAGTCATTACTGAAGAGGATATAGAGATTGAGAAGCTTTTGGATCACAAGAAAGCACATCAAAGCCAGGATTCGGACCTGTCTATTGGCCAGAGCAGTGAGGAGGAAACTACACACTACAATGCACCTTCAGAAAGACAGACAATGCCCATATCTCCGTCCAAACACAGCCTTAAAAAGAAAGATGCACTAATGGACATGGCGGCTGTAGTCCAAGATTTGACACTCATTGGTGATGACAATGACGAAAGCCCAATGCTTCGGAAGAAGGAGCTGAGTTATTCTAAACTCTCCGATGAAGAAATATATGAAGAGTTGAAGAGAATCTGCAATAAGGATGATCCCTATGTTAGATTTGAAAAAATCAAACAACTTGGTGCTGGTGCTTCTGGTGAGGATCCACTGTTTTTTATTTTGTTCATATAAGCACTCATTGCATCAAAAGAGTTTGTACTTTAATAATGGTGTAAATGTAACTTTTGAATTACACCGAAAAAACATTAATAATACAATGTTCCATCAAATACCAAACTAAATTTATTAAATGTGACCACAATTAGTGTAGTGCTTTCACAAAAAATATAACCGACAACTCTTCGTAAGAACCTCATAGCCTAAAAATAACTTTTAATTAGTATGTAATTCATTTTTGAAACAATAGAAACAAACAATCCTAACAATTATTTTTGTTTGGTTTTGGCCTTCCTTATTAAATGCCCTTGAATTTTTTTAATAATTCATAGTTAGCTTATAAAGTATCAATATTTATATAATTTATTGTTGGCTTATAAAGTATCAATTTAATAATAATTAGTGTAGATGTCAAGCAAACAATCCATGTTATGAGGTTGTTGAAGGTTATGGATGGATGGAAGGTTATGTACCACAAATTGCATAACTCTTCTTCTTTGATAGATAAAACGCTTAAAAACTAATCTTTCATTGTGTGTGTTAAAATATAGTGACTTCCGAGCTATATTTTGTGTTACTTACAATAAATGCTAACTTTCAAAATAGAATGTAAGTTTAATCCTTTTTAGATTTGTAGAACCATTGAAGTTTATGTAATTTAATAAAGTGTAGGCAGCTACATTCATTTCTTTGGAAGAAAAATTTAGCTTTACAGGAATTTAATTAATTTATAATATTATTACAATTATGTCATAGGAACATACAGGATGCAACGAGACCCACTCAAAGCCAAAAACATATGAATACTTAATAATAGAATATGAATTAGTTTTCAAGTTGTGTTCCTTTGCATGGCAGTAAATAAATAACCTGTAGAAATGAGCTTCTTAGCATTACCTATCAGCTATCACATCCTGCAAAAAAAATTGTATTCATCTGGCATAATTGATTCTATAATTCCACTTCCACCAAAATTATTTAGTTTACAAATAACTTTTTTCAAATTTTTGTAATTCATACATTCAATTTTATTTAAAACAAGAACTTATAAGAACGAGTAATCTTTATTGATAGTAATTAGTAACACACTATATTTATATTGCACATAATGTTACTGACTTTATTGTGTGTGACAGATAAGAATTTACAGTTTGTTAACTTTGCAACACAAATCTTGATTTAACCTTCAAACTAAACTACACCATTGTTTTTACAACAAAAATAGGTGCAATGCTACTGCAATCAATCTGTGAGAATTTAACAGTTCAGCTTTATATACACAGAACTAGGTTAATCTTTTTATTAAAAGCTTGCCTCTGGCTAAGTACCTCAACTATTTGACAAAAAGCTATTTTTCTATTCTTTATTCTTTCTTTAAAATTCTTTCATCTGCTAGTTAACTCCATACACTACAAACCCTACTGGCTTTACTTGTTGCCATAGCAATAAAAAAAATGTTTCAGATCATGTTTATGAAATATAAAATATCATTATATATTTTGGCATAGGATTACTATTGTTTGAATCATACTAATATTCCAGTCTTAAGTGTCAAATTGAAAAGTTAGCACATACATGTGGTACACTTATATAAAGTAGGCCTTGTGTTTTTGCGTACCCATTATGATAATAATAACATATTTGTGTACTACTTATGTTAAAAATTACAAATAAAGTGACCTTAAAAATTGAAAGAATCTATACATGCCTTATCTAATCAATCTTAACAGTTTCAATTGTAAATATTTTAACACTGACTGTGTGAATTCTAAATTTATCTTGGCGTTTCCAGTACACCCTTGATGTATACATTGTATGGAAATTAGTCTCAGGCTTATGAATAAAATGTAAATATTTACTCTGCAGCACAGAAGTTGGAGCTTAGGTATTTTTAGAAACCAAAAGCTGATATTTTAGTTCAAGAATAAAAGCTAATGTAATCGGATCATTTTAAAAACAAACAGAAAGGTATAAAATCAGAGTTAAGCATTAAAAATAGTTTTCATTATTAATGAAAGAAATATTAAAATGTACATATTATAATATATAGACAACAGATGTTCATACCAGAAAATCATATTTCATTGAGAACTTCCTCCATTTTTATTTGAAGTCAGATAACAATAAGGTTAATCCAATTTAAATTGTCATTGTTTGAAGACACAGTACCAAAAAATGGTTAATGGGTATTTTTGCATTCCCCCATTCTTATCAAAAACTAACATTGAATGACCAATAAGTTCATAAAGTAAAGACTTACATGTCACTAGGTTTTGTGTTTGTGATAATAAATAAATATGTATTTACTAACAATCACGCCACGTTAACTGGTCCCGTGCTAAGTTCGTAAAGAACTTGTGTTACAGGTACCAGATAACGGATATAAATGTAAAATTTTATTATACACATACATATATTTAATATACATCCATAACCCTGGAAAAGACATTTATATTTATCATACAAATATCTTCCCTTGGCGGGATTCGAACCCGCGACCCCCTTGTGTAGTGACCATGTCAGTTACCACTACACCAGACGGCCGTTAAATGATGAGAGGGTGTCGTGTTAGAATTATTTATGTATGCCATTGGTGCCAGAAACATATACAGGATAAGAACATGCATAAACCATGAAAACCTTATGTTTCCACAAAAAAAAACTAATTAAATTCGAAATCAAACACACACGTCATGATCATTAACTGCTCAGCCAACCAAGGTCAATAGAGGCATTTGAGTATTAATTTTTATATATCTAATCCACCATCATTATTTAAACTTCATTTTTATGCTTAGTTGGAATCAGTAGCTTTATGAAACATATTTGGTATTTCAAATTTGAGAGTAATTGTTGTTGTATAAATATCCAAACTGAAAAAGAAAAAGTTAAAAAAAAAACATCATTCAAATCAAATAAAAAAAATTCTCGTTTTTAATTAAACTACATATCTGGATCTGTCAAATAAAAGTGTAAAACTATGAAGAAAAAAAACTAAAGAAATAATTAGATTTATTACCATCATCAACATTGACATTTCCTAATTTCGCTTTTAAGTTATCTAATTAATTTTGGTTTGATAACTAATGAAATGTTCTATACCAAATAAATTGGTTTTTCTTCAATAATAACATATTAAATTTCTTTTTAAAGGTGTCGTGTTCATTGCCATAGACAGCAAAGACAATTCAAGAGTCGCCATAAAGGACATTGACCTAACAAAACAGTCCAAGAAGGAATTAATACTCAATGAAATCAACGTACTCAAGGGGTTCCACCATAAGAACCTTGTGAATTTCCTTGACGCATTCCTAAGCTATGATCATTTGTGGGTTGCCATGGAACTTCTCGATGGAGGTTCTCTCACGGACGTCGTAACTGAAGTGGTCATGAAAGAAGGACAGATAGCTGCTGTGTGCCGGGAAACCCTGCAGGCCGTCGCTTTCCTCCACTCTAAAGGTACAATCCATAGGGACATTAAATCCGATAATGTCCTACTCGGAATGGATGGAACCGTCAAAGTAACTGATTTCGGTTTCTGTGCGAACATCGTTGGTGATGAGAAACGACAGACCATGGTCGGCACGCCGTATTGGATGGCGCCCGAAGTGGTTACCAGGAAACAGTACGGGAAGAAGGTGGACGTTTGGTCCCTTGGTATAATGGCGATCGAAATGATCGAAGGCGAACCGCCATACATGAAAGAGACGCCTTTAAGGGCGCTGTATCTAATCGCGGCTGTCGGGCGCCCGAAAATACCACGTTGGGGAGAGCTGTCCCCGAAATTCCAGGACTTCTTGGATAAATGCCTCCAAGTCGACGTGGACATGAGAGCATCCGCCGAAGAATTACTAGAGCATCCTTTCCTGGAGTGCGCAATGGAACTGAGGACTCTCACGCCCCTCATCAAAGCCGCCCAGAAAATATTGCACAAGTGCTACGATTAAAACCGGTAATTGATTTTTGCCCCGTTGCGTGTTCCGCAATACGGAATATTCAAGTTTTATAGCGTTTTACAAAACTTTGCTACGTATTATTATACATTTTTTTGTAAGAATTTTTCAAATTGGTGCCAATTTCTTTTATTTTTAAAGAACGACGTATTTTTGTTCGAATTGCCAAAATTAATGAGATTCATCTAAGAATCTTGAATGTTCATTTTGAATCGAAACCTGTAGATTTTTTTTAACAATAACCAATAAGTCACGTTCGGGTTTTTCTTATCACTGGCCCGTGATATGATATCTCCTAATAGATATTGTTAAAATACGTCACATTAAACATCTAAGGCGGCGAAATAAACAAGGAATCTACCTAAAATCATGTACAACAAGATGCCATAATCAAAAGAAATATTACAATAGTTCAATAAAATCGATTTCATAAAATATTTAATATAATTCTGAACGTTTCCCTCTTTTTATTTAACATCGACAACTTTGTATATCTTATCGCCTACGCTGGTTGCCGACGATAAGTAAGATATCGTTTGCTTTATTCTTTATAAATTCGATGGAACGATTTAAAAAAATAAAATAAAACCGTTTAGGTGCATGTAATAGGAATTAAGAAACCTTAATTGGGTATTTGACTGAAATAAGTATACGTTTAGTAACTGAGAACTTTCTAGAAATTCTAAAAATATCAAAATCTGAAATCGACTTTCAAAATTAAATTCACTGAATGATATTCGAATATTAAATGTATTTTTCCCCCCAATATTGTACACGGGATAAAAAGTCTTGTATTCAGTCGTAAAATGGCATTAATAAATCAGACTTTTACGCGATGCTATTTAGATATCGCTTCTACACGAATATTTGTACACGTAACAAACTCCGTAAAATGAAGTCAGATACCCGAAACACCAAAAATGTACATAAATGAAATCGTATTTTTAGCTAGTCTTATTTTTGTATCAGTTTTATATTTAACAAAAAAAAAGTATTTTTATATTTCATAGATTATAATTATTTTTACGTTTACAACCAAATAGAAATGTAATGGTTCAGGTGACATTTTTTCGACAAAACCTTTTTTTTTTTTTCGTTCACACATTCCTCTTTGAAATATTATGCATTTTACTTTCACGAATTCATTGACTTCTCACAAGACTGTTTTAATGTATTTGATAAAAAAAAAAGCGTTATAATTTTACAAATTAAACATTCTACAAATTCATTTATTTTTAAGTTTATTAATATTATGTTCATTTCCTATGTAATTTTACGTTTAATAGTATTTATGTAATACGCAACGAATTATTTGTACATGTACGTACGTACCTTAGAAGTGCCCCAAGTATTTTTTTTAAATACCGCCAAAATCTGTCTTTGTCTCATGAATTAAAATAAAATTTGATCACCAGCGGCAGGGCGTGGTATGGGACTATCCTTGTAGACGTCAAAGGGTAGATTAGTGAGAATTATAATGCAATTACGTTCTAGTATTTAAAACGAAATTATTCGTCAGTTTGCCTATCTATACAAATAAAAAAGTTAAAATTCATGAATTTAAAACATTTATTTCTTTATTTAGCTTTATGCACAAAAGCACAGTGGTGGAACTAATGCCCGAGGCATTCTCTACCAATCAACCAAGGATGCTGTAGAGTCCAGTGGTAGGTGCATCATGAAAGCCTCAAGTTGATTGAATATTGCCGCGTTAAAAAGTCTCTGATAATGAAGTCGCGAAGTCGTCTACGCATCGCTAGTTGTCATCTCAAATCGAAATAAACTTTAGAGAGAGTATTATTTATTGTACGCCAACAAAAACCAATGCGAAACATTAAATACCTAACAGTACAATTGGCGGTCTTTATCGCTAAGAGCGATCTCTTCCAGACATAAACTTTATAAAATATATTGAACAATAACTCAAAAATCATTTGTTTCCGTATCAACATTTTTTTTTTATATATGCACTACCGAATAACGAGGAAATTAACTACGACTTTAATACGTACATGTATTTCCCTGTACGCGGTGTATCGTGTCACCGGGCTGTTGGTAAAAACTTTATTTGGCGTCAATCTGAGGATATTTTAAGCTACATTGACGTATAACCATTCAGTTTTCCCGCTCAACCTAAGATAGCATCCAATCGCCGAAATCGCCGGTTTTCGAGGTTATGAGGAAAATATAGGAAAGTCAACTTGGTTGTTGCTATATGCTAATATGCTTTGCTGCAGTTTACCGTTGGCAGTAAACTTATTTATATTATTTTCTATTCTATCAGTATTAAACTCTACATCGCTTATATGAATCGGATCACTATACATACCCAAACCGCGAACCTTTAAATACGAACAATAAAGAGTACCTATGATGTGTGCATCAAAATAGATTAATGATCAAATTTTACTTTTCCTTCATCGACGAAGACCCTTGCATTTGGAATCACACGAAAAAAAAAGTGAAATCTTGTTATTTGTCAACAAGCGTTCAAAGCAGTCGTGAAAAAACGATTTATGAGTCTTTTTTTTTTAAAGTTTCATTGAATTCCCGTTTTTTTACACAATTCCTGGGGAATCTTCAATATCTTAAACTGTCATGGTGTCTTTATTTTAATTATTTCACCGGCTTTGTGTATTCACTGTGTAATAGAGTACCAAATGTGCCTGCTTGATGGAATGTAGGTAGTTATAAGTTAAGTTTAAGCTTTAACAGAATACGCGACGGTTGTGACGTATATTCTAATCGAGTTTATGATGCGTTCACGTCATACATACTAACTGTCTGATCTTTGCTCTTTGGTATGAAACAGCGAATAGAGTTCACTTTAAACTTTTACTATGATAATTATCGAAGGGAATATCTTGAATTCAAAGTGTATAATTTTTTATATCTAAGACCCAAATTAACTCCGAAAACATAGTTTGGAGACGTTTCCAAATGTAGATCGCAACTTTGAATAGATTCGGTGCTATGCTTGATAAATTAAATATATAATCACAAAATTGTTCAGAAGGCGCTATATGTAAACTTTATTGATCGAGTTTAAATTATGAATGAACATGAAATTTGTGGGTGACGAGTAATCGAGCTTCGTTCTATCAAAGGTTAAGGATTTAGGTACAATTAGTTTGAATTGTCTCAAGTCTATGATCAAAAGTTGGAATGAAAATTGCATAGATGTAGTAGTAACTACTCAGTCGCGCTCTGTGAGAACAGTTAGTATGAACTGAACCTCATTATGACTTCTGTGCTTAATGCGAGTTTTTTAACGTTCTCAAATAGCGTTTTTTTTCTTTTCTTTCCTAAGCTGATAGCCTTGAGTGTCTATATCAGCGTAGCCTAAACTAGTAGGTGAGCTCACGGGGCTCAAACCTGATGACGTTGCTAACACGAACCCTAGCAAGAGCCATGCTTCACAGAATCTACCACCGGATCGGAAACGCGACCCACTGAGAAGATCCGGCGAGAAACTCAGTGGGCTGTGTCTGAGGGTTTATTTACTCGTCGAGCCCTTCGTCGCAAGCGACGGGTTCGACGAGAACGATGACCGGTGCTTGAGGTACCTAAAAGCACTAGTGGATCAGGAGGATCCGAAATGACGTTTTGTCTCGATAGCGTAAAAGTTAACTCAAATTTGTATGGAGTTGGAACGTTTGCCTACGTTTGCCGCTAGGGGCGCTGTTCCAACTGCATACAAATTTAAGTTAATTTTAACTCTATCGAGAACGTTAATAAACTCGCACTAAGCACATTGGTCCCCTATAATAGGATAATACGCAATGTGACGTCACAATAAGTTTCATCCCTTATGTTATAACTGAGTCGCGCAACGAACCACTGTATGCTAGATACGCTGTAGTACATAAGTTATATATACACACACCAATGACACTTTTTGAACGTTATATCGATATAATATTTGCCTATTAAATTATTTTTGTAAAATGGTTTTTTGGGTTTTTATTTTTCATTCTCTTCAGTTGTGTTGTTCAATACTTACTTCGAATCAACCATTATTATTATTATTATTTAGTCCGCAAGTGAACAATGGTACAATGGTTCAAGTACCGACAGTCACAACGGTCTGTTAATGCCTTCAGGATGCTGTTAGGGCTGACCCGGACTCGGCGAATCAGGGATGTGCACCTTTTCCGCATGGTCGTAAAGAAACAATCGACTCGTGCCTCGGCGAACATTCCCGACGCGCTACAGAACCGAGGTAGCCCAACAACACCCTGAACGCATTGTTGTATTGGACGCGTAAGGCGCTGTACTGCTTTTGAGTTATGGGTACCAGAGACTGATAAAACATTTATATATGTTTAAATATATAATAAACACCCATACAAAGAGCAAAGAAACTTGTTCATCACACGAACCTTTGCCCGATGTGTTAATCGAACCCGCGACCCTCGACGCAATAACCAGGGCAGCTAACTACTGTAACACCGACTCAGAAGTCAATATATTGGCAAAGGACAATGCCCAAAAGTGGGCCAACTTCATGACAAAACTATTTGTACTTGAAAAACTATGCCTTATTTTTTCACGTTGTTTAGTTTATGTATTAACATTTCTTTCACCCTGGCATTGTTTTACAAAAAAATAAAGTACTTATTTGATAACATCCCAAAACTGAGTACCACAGTTTTTAAATTCGCCAATAGACAAAGGGCAAATTAGCCCCTTACAGCCTTATAGTAAATCTTTAAGCTGACAAACGAAAGAGTTGTATGTGACTTGAACAACAAATAAAAAAAAAATTGCTAATGGTTCATTCACAGATTTTTTAGTTTATTGTTCTTCAATTCAATATTTATGTATTGTAATAATAATTATTACTTAAAACCATGAATTATTTAATATTTTTAGATATTAATGATTCCATTAGTAAAAATCTCAATGGCCATTACTCTATTCACCCGACAACTTTTTTTCAAAAAAAGTCCTTTGTATTGAGTTTTTTTTATTGCCCTTGTAGGCAGACGAGCATACGGCCCACCTGATGGTGAGTGGTTACCGTCGCCCATGGACTTGGAGGGGAGCTCATTCCATAGCCGGATGGTACGTGGCAAAAAAGACCTCTGGAAACGCACTATGGATGACCGCAGTGGCACTCCCCATGGAACCTTTGCCTACGTTTGCCGCTAGGGGCGCCATCCAACTGCATACGAATTTGAGTTAACTTTAACTCTATCGAGAACGTTAAAAAACTCGCACTAAACACAGTGGTTTTTGTTTTGGTCAGGAGGAAATCGCCGGACTTCCGCCCTTCACTGGGGATGGCGGGCGGGGTATGAGCACAAAAATCCTAGGGCAACGTTATTTTGAGGGCTGCTATTTTTAGGCATTTCTGACTGAATAATTATTTGGAATAGTAAGTTGGAAAATATATTTAAAGAAAAGGACTACACTTGAAATTGTATGTTTATTTACTTTGAAATTTTTTCTTCATTAACACCAAGCATCCACAATATATCTTCTGTCTTTCTCCATCTGCACTATATATTTCTCATGATCCTCTAAACAATTATCATATTTAGTAAGGCATTTAATTAAGACATCTTTTATTTGTTCTGCTATCGTTCTAACATCTCCGCAAACAAATATATTTGCTCCATCTTTTATTAACTGAGCTATCTTTTCTCCTTCATTCATAACAGCATCCTGGAAAGTAAAATTTATAATAGTTACTCATTTGATGCAGTCAATTTTATTAAAAAATTATATTTTTGCAAATACATTTTGCCTAGAACTAACATGAGTACAAATGTGTTCCCAACATGGGTGATTCGAGAATAAGCCAATGTAGGTTGTAATCATGGATACTGATACGTTTGCAAAAGCCTATAGAAGAAAATAAATTTTGAATCTTTCAACTATAATTTTTTTTTTTATTATAGATATATATATATAAAATTGTAGAGAGAAATGTACCTGAACATATTTGACCTCATTGTTATCAACTCTCGAAAAAGATACATTCAAACTATTCAATACGTTCCGTGACAAAAATCGTTTTAGTTCCTTCTCGTAGATAAAATCTAATTCGGGATTCCTGCATCCGAAAAACAGGTCGACTGTACCAAACTTTCCTTTAGAATTCTTCTTCTTTGCATACTCTATTTCTTGTAAAAATCCTATAAAGGGAGCTACTCCAGTACCGGGACCAATGAATATCAATGGAGTTTCTAAATTTTCAGACAAACTGAACCCGGAAATATTCTTCCTCATATAAATAGGCACCTTGAACTCACTTCTCTGTTTATGGTCTGTTAAACATAAATCATTTAGACTATGCTCCAGATTGATGTTTTTGTTCAAAATGTGATCTTCCAACCAACCAGTTGTTAGACCTCTTCTGTTATTTCCTAAATTCATTACGGAGAAGCAAATTTTAATTACATTACTGTCTTCTAAATATGAATTGACTATAGAATATGGTCTAGGCAGTAGCTTCGGTAAATAGGATAATAATACTTCTATTGGTGGCTTGCAGGATGGGAACATTGTGAATATATCCAAAATGTTTATTTGTTTGTTTAATATGTGAGTTTTATATGCTGTAGATCCTTCCTTGCTGCTTAAATATTCGAGTACTTGTCTTTCGTTATCTTCTTTTGTATATCTCGATATCGCTAACAGGAACAACTGAAACAATTATATTGTAAAACATTGGTACAAAAGTATTCTTGTTAAATAACTAATTGCATTATTTGTGTCAACACTAAATTAAGTGATAAATGAAATAATATTTAATCTTCGTGACTTAAAACATAAGGAATAAAAACAAATTAATAATTGACTGTTTGATAGTACATCTTAAAAATAGTTATACTGTTAGTACTTTTTTTTTACCAAACACTGTGATTTCAAATAATTTTATCAGTGGGGGTGGTAAAAACACACCAGAGGAGGTCAAAGAATAGATAGATAAAGTTTGTTTTGTAGTAAAATTAAATGGTAAAATGGGTAGTAAAATATGTTATAAAAAATTTACAAGAAAAGCATCAAATAATAACTGACCTTTTTAAGCAAACACCGAAGATCCAAACAATCAGTCAACACTTGTCTCAACGTTGATTTAACAGGTACATGTGTTGGTATTTTACTTTCTTTATTCCCTAAAAGCAACGTGTAAGGTAAATCTGCTTGTGAAGTAAGACTTAAATGGTTTAAAATAAAGTCCACTTCGATTTGTGCGTTTTTAGGAATGATACCTATTGTATCACCAGCCTTGAAAGTGAAATTACTATCCTGGAAAGATAACAATAATTCAAGTATTAGTAAAGTAAATAATTCTAATGTGCATAGTAAGTACACAGCAGGCTACAGTTTAGCTGTGTTGTAATCATTTCTGATATCGATAAGCGACAGTGACAGCTTACCATTAGGTGAGCCTTGTGACTGTTAATAAAAGCAATAAAAACACAATTTGTTCTTTATTTATTTATTTATTATTTAATAAGTTGCACCAACAAAGTGATCATCAATACAAAACATTGACAAATTGACAAAAGTTCATGGCAGATGTCACCTCAATTATAGGTGCAATCGACAGTGCATTAACATCAAAAATAAAAATAAAATATACAGCTAAGATTTATGTTAAGAATTGTAAGAAACGCAAGATGAAATGACATAAATCATAATTTGATATAATCCATTTTTGAAACTATGTATGTGTTTAGAATATCAAATATTTAATTATTTTATATTTGATCAAATTCAGTTAAATGTTATGTTACTCAATCCATATTAACCATAGATTATTATATTTTCAAGGCATGACAATTTTACTTCTCACTCAAATGTTAGTTCTATGGTGAGAATATTTTACAAATTTTAATAACATAAACAACATCCTGCAATAGTTACCTTCACATCAAAAGTGATTTCATAAACATCTTTGCATCCTTGATCACAAGCAGTCAACCTCCTTGATTGAGAAATTGTAGCATAAAATAGCTCAGAATTAGCAAATGGTAATTTTGGGTCTGGTCCATTATAAATTGTTGTGTTTGCCTAAAATTACATACCTATTTACTTGTAACATAACTAAAGAGTAGTTAGAACCAAATACATGTTTTGAACTGTATAATGTTTGCTGGGCCTGCACTACTGATGATAGGACCTCTTAAGAGTCCGCGTGGGTAGGTACCACCACCCTGCCTATTTCTGCCGTGAAGCAGTAATGCGTTTCGGCTTGAAGGGTGGGGCAGCCGTTGTAACTATACTGAGATCTTAGAACTTATATCTCGAAGGTGGGTGGCGCTTTTACGTTGTAGATGTCTATGCGCTCCAGTAACCACTTAACACCAGGTGGGCTGTGAGCTCGTCCACCCAACTAAGCAATAAAAAAAAAATTAAAAATAAACATTTCCATTTTGCATTTTTACTTACATAATTACACATAGCGTATTTGTTATGCTAGCTAGGCAAAGATTTTATTATTTTTTCGCGGTTCGCGTTTAATATTGTCATTACATTATTTCTGAAGATTCTAAATTACAGTTATTCATTGAGATTTAGATATTCTAGACAATTTGTACTTACATCTCCCACTCTGTATTCGAGTTTCAAAGAAATCACTTTTGTTATTGTAGGTAAAGTAAATACAGTTTTTTCTGGTAGTGCTTGCAAAGTATCTCTTAGAGATTGAATCACTACCATGTTTTTGAAATGACCATTAATTATTCATAATGTTTAAAAAGCATCCTTTAACCACACATCAGCTAAAAATTAAGTTTCATTTTTGATTTGAACCTTGCCTTGCACCACTTTAAAAACGTGCAGAAGTGTTTAACATAGATTATTATTATACACTTAATATGTTTTTTTTTTTTTTTTTATTGAAAGCATTGGCAACACGGCCATCAGCTTAAGCTAATTTTACAAAAAAATAGAACAAACTAGAACTTACAATAAAAACACAAATAAAAGAAACAAACCAAACCAAGAAACAATTACAAATGATTGAAAACAACAAATTAATGACAAAATGAATTGCAAGAACTTACTATAAAAAAATACAAGTTATCTTTCAACAAACAACAAAAAAGAACATGAGTCGTTATAAAAAAATAATTAAACTTGCACATAAGCAGGAGACCTATGATACATTCATGAATTATACATTCATAGTCGTCCTATAGTGTGAAGTACAAAATTATACACTATTGAGAATAGTTGTGGAAGCTTTAAAATACCTTGAATGGAATTAGGAATAGATTTTAAGCCTGTGTCTTTACATAATGCATTAAACAATAATCTCTGTTGATTGAATTCAGGACAATTAAAAAAAATATGATCTAGATCNGGGCTATTAATACAGCATGAAGAGTGATGTCAAAGAACATAATTGTTGTATTTTTCCAATTTAGTATAATATCTCGTATCGATCAATGTGTTTTAGCAAAAAAAAAATTTCTTTATATCTGCTAGCCATAGAATACAGCATCAATTCTGTAGATTTTTACCCAAATTATATCAGTTTTGGTTTGGTACCGTTTAGTAACATAACCCCCCCCCCCCCCCC